TCTGTGTTTTAGATGGGTTGGGGATCAGCTGGTTTTCCCTGTAGTAGGCAGTAAGAGCACCTAGAGTTTCGGAGAGCTTCTGTTCAACCATCTCTAAGCTCCCTGCTTGAGCCGAAATGGCACGATCATCAGCATAGATGAAACTCTCTGTCCCTTCTGGCAGTGGCTGGTCATTTGTGTAGATGTTGAACATGGATGGAGCAAGCACGCTCCCCCGAGGCAGGCCGTTCTTCTGTTTCCGCCATCTGCTTCTCTGGCCCTGGAACTCAACAAAAAAGCTCCTGTTTTATTTATTATTTATTTATTTATTTATTTCTTGCACTTATAGACCGCCACTCTCAGCCCTGGGGCGGTTTCCCATGTAGCAGGTTTCCCATGAGGCAGGTTTCCTATGTAGCAGGCTTCCTATGAGGCAGAATATATAATAATATTGCATGCCTAGAACATGGATCTGGACCAAACTTGGCATGGATACTCAATATGCCTAAATGTGACCACCAGGTTGAGAAACGCTGATGTAATGCATTGCTTCATCCTTGTTGCTTTGGATTACTTCATAGTAGCATCAGACAATGAATTTTCTCATGGTTCCGTCAATCACTGAGACTTGTCTCGTCATCCTGACTTTACCATGAATCATGAATATCCTTGACTTATATACATTTGCTAATGTTTTCCCCATCTGTTCTGAGAAGATGGCATTCTATATATCCTTCTGCAAACCACAGCTGTCTTTATTGGGACCACGTCAGAAATGACTGTATTATGAAAAAGCATGCCGAACGCTGTCTAAGTGCAGCCAAAGGCCGGACGCATCTCGGCGCCTGGAAACATAGAAATATAATGTGATTTCCAGCTCCGAGCAGGACGAGCGTGATAGAAACCAGGCGCCGAATGGCTTTCGTAATGCTTATTTCTTGCAAAACGATTCCCGGTTCCTACTTGCAACAAGCAAGGCTTGTGGATGACCATATGTGCAAAGAAATTATAATAATACTAGCCATCCCCTGCCACGTGTTGCTGTGGCCCAGTCTGGTGATCTGGAAAATAAAGTAATGGTTTCTAATATATGTAATGTCTTTCTGCTTGTGGGTAAACAGTATTTCCTGTTGTTTCTTTGTCAGTGTTGATGTGGAGATGGTCTGGTTTGCCCATTCTGGAACATGCAACATATAATTGCCCTTTTTTAGGGGTCCCTTTCAAATCTATGATACTATATCTCTCTGTGTGTGAATAATATATATCTATCTGTATCTATGGCTGGATGGCTCTTTGTCAGGAGGGCTTTGATGACGTTTTCTTGCCCTGGTGAAGGGAGTTGGACTGGATGGCCTTAAGTATTTTCTGTTGGTCACGGGGGGTTCTGTGTGGGAAGTTTGCCCCAATTCTTTCATTGGTGGGGTTCAGAATGCTCTTTGATTGTAGATGAACTATAAATCCCAGTAACTACAACTCCCAAATGTCAACGTCTATTTTCCCCAAACTCCATGTTCATATTTGGGCATATGGAATATTTGTGCCAAGTTTGGTCCAGATCCATCATTGTTTGAGTCCACAGTGCTCTCTGGATGTGGGTGAACTACAACTCCCAAACTCAAGGTTAATGTCCACCAAACCCTTTTAGTGTTTTCTGTTGGTCATTTGCTGTGTGTGCTTTGAAACAGGAATGCCTTCATTCGAGGACAATTTCATCCTAGATTTTACATGTTTCCTCCACCACAGACATCCCAGTGTTTCTTACTCTCTTCATTGGTGTGGAATTTGCATGACCCCGGCCACTGCCTACGCAGTCTGGCTATTGTTACTGAGTGGTTGCAATAAACGTTGATGGCTGGCAAGCATGCTAGATCCAGATTTTTCCAGTGCTGAGAGACAGGAACAATGAGGAAATTTTGACTATGGTTTCAGTGAATAATAGTTGAATCAGTAACAGATTAGGACCAAGTGTGGCTTTCCGAAGGCTTCCTTTGTCCTATTGAGATATGATCATAAATGCCAAGTGACTGCTTCCTCTGGGGGGCCAACTCCGAGGCCAGAGGTCACGGTCCTTTGTTATTGTCCATGCAAATAGTGTCTTTTGATAAGGGTCTTTTTCAACTGGAGATTTCCTTCTTTCCAGGGTCACACAGGGGTGGCTGCCTTGTATTTTTATACATTTAGAATAGATAAGATAGATAGAATGGATCGGTACATTTATGGCTAGATAGATAGATACAATGGATAGATAAGAGGCTAGATTGATTGATTGATCGATCGATTGATAGATAGATGACTAGATAGATTAGATAGATAAATAGATAGATAGATAGATAGATAGATAGATAGATAGATAGATAAGATAGATAGATAGATAGATAGATAGATAGATAGATAGATAGATAGGATGATATGAACTACAGTTGAATGCTGTCTCATTGGCCCTTCTCATTATGCCTCTCCTGGTTAATTGTTCCCTTCCAATGTGACGCCAGCCTTTCCTGGCACGCTCTGCACATGCCCAGAGGCTTGGCTTTGAACTCACAGCTTCCATAGCCTTTTAAAAAGGCTCCAATTGGGTGCCTGTGAAACCTAGGGCATAAAACCTTGATTAAATGTACACACTATCTAACATGGGAAGGATCGTTGTTGTTGTTGTTGTTGTTGTTGTTAGTGTCTTGGCAAACTGACCAAGGCTTAACCCTTATTATCTAGTCTGGTGTCCTTGTCCTTAGCAAAACTATAAGTTACTATCTTTTATTGGGGGGGGGGTCATGTTCGACTTCATCCCCATCTGTTAGAAAAACTCAATTTGCGAATTGAATTCATGTGGTTCCCGGACGAGCGTCTTCTCAATCTGCTAACAAGGTTTCGTTGCATTTCTGCAATGCAATTACAGCTTCTGGGACCTTGGCCGGCATTTATATATATTTTTATTAATGGCTAGCATAACAAGATCTGATGACTTCACATTAGCAAATTGGGTTTCTCTAACGATGTAACGTTTAGCGCATGCAGACGTTTCCATGCCCTCCGACTTCCTTCCATCCTTCCTTCCATTCACATTCATTCAATGGTTGCCCAGCCTTCCAGAAGTTCCATTTCTAGGCTTCTGTGGTTAGGAAAGTCCAACAATTGCCGCCCGCAGAACAACTATAGAGTCAACCACAAAACATCCTCGGGTGGTTTGAATGGCACACTTGTTCCTCCAACACTGTGCTTGACAATGTCGAGCACAACAGAAGAAGAAAGGCACATTGGATTTCCCTGGTGTCGTATTATTGCTAATCTCCTCTGCGCTATAAATAATACCATTTGGCCCGTGAGATGCCACTGCTGGGGATGTGCTCCTTCTTTTTGTTCTGCCTTATATTTAGAAGGGCAGCCGGAGTGGTTTTCTGCCTTCATAACCGAGAGAGCGCTCTAATTTCCATGAAATTTGGTTCAAGTTTATTAGTGATGCAGGCAAAAAGACCACTCTTCTCGATCCTGCTTCCTCACGTTTGATTTTGTGGAATTTTATTATCTGGTGGTAATAATAATAATAATAATAATAATAATAATAATAGATGCAAAGACTCTGGCACAACCCAGTCAGAGGTGGCCCTAGGTAATTTTCAGTGGTAAGCAAACAGTATTTTGCCCCCCCCCCCAACCAATCACTGATATATATTTTCTGTTCATCGTGGGAGTTCTGTGTGCCATATTTGGTTCAATTCCATCATTGGTGGAGTTCAGAATGCTCTTTGATTGTAGGTGAACTATACATCCCAGTAACTACACTTGCCACACTTGCTCCCTTGCCTGGCCCGCTTTGGGTCCAGAGGCATGCCTGAAGACCCCGGCGTGTGCACCAAAAGTCACCTCTTCTCCTGACTTTCTCCTCAGCCATTGGGACCAAGAGAGAGAGAGAGAGAGAGAGAGGTGGAGATGCCCACCTTTCCTGAAGGTAGGCGCAAAAACAAAGGAGGGAGCGGAGGTGGGAGATACCTCCAGCCGGAGGGTCTCTCTCTCTCTCTCTCTCTCTCTTGGTCCCAATGGCTGAAAAGAAAGTCAGGAGAAGAGGCGACTTTTGGTGCGCACGCTGGGGTCTTCAGACACGCCTCCGGACCCGAAGCGGGCCAGGCGCGGCGGCTCCGCCCCTTGGCCCACCTGCGGATTGGGGAGAGGAGAGGAGGCGGGTGGAGCGCCGGGGGATCAGGAAAGGGAGCCGGTCATGGGGAAGGGATCAAACGCGGAGAACGATTGAGCACCAGCTCTGCTTGCGCACCCGGTGGCCGGGTGGAGCAGGAACAAGAGGGGCCAGGCGAGGCTCAAGGGCCCGGCCCCTTTGAGAAGAGGATCACCCGGCAGCGAGGCAAGAAAGCTGAAGCTCCCCCAGACTGCTAGGGCTGTTGTGAGCTGAGGGGGCGCTCCTCAAGTGGCGGTCGAGGGGCATTTACAGAGGTGCCTCTGCGCCCCTGGCAAAAAAAAGTGTTCTGCGACCGCTTACTTCGCGTAATGGACGAGCCGCCCCTGAACCCAGTAAAGGTGGTCCCAGTGGTGAACGGCACACTGGGTGCAGTGGCTAAAAACCTTGGCCTGCACTTAAACACAATCAGCGCTGACAAAATTGCCATCTGTCAGCTGAAGAAGGCCACCTTCCTTTTTTCTTGCATAGTCATAATAACGGATTCCGCCCATGGAAGACAACTGTTCCTGGTCATGAATGATCGCCTATGATAGATGAATTGTTATTGTTGTTATTACTTATCTGTCTCTCCTGTCAGCCCGAGGCAGGGCTCAACATACTCAAATATATCCATAATATCACATACTAAAACATCATTAAAATGCAACCCTGAAAGTATAATATCAAAGCAGGTTTCATGTCAAGATCTATCTCAAGGTCTAGGTTTCAGGCCTTGAGATGGATAGATGTCATCCGAAGCAGCAGATCGAAAAGAGTTCCGAATTGTTAAAGAGTCCGATTGGTGAACGAGTTGCATTCAATGTCAAACTGTCTCTTTGCTCTCGTTTCACAG